GCCGGCATTGTAGTCTACTCTACCAGGATCAGTAAACAGTCCTCCGTAAAATGTGCTGCACACATCTGAATATTTGGGTTGAATTGTTCTGGAACAGTGTTGTAAATATAACTTAATCACTGATTTCTAGTCGTGTCCTCTTTTGAAAGGCCAAACAAAGTAGTTTCGTTTTCACAACGAAACAGCATCACACACGGCGGCCTAGAGTGAGCAGAGGCAGCGGGCTTGAGAACGGTGCGGCCAGCGGATTCGACGAAGGTGTGTCTGGAGGGCTTGCGGCAACCACATCTGACGACCCCGGGCTGGGCTCCGCGTCGTCCACGGTGAAAGCCGATCCGGTGATCCACAGTGCAAAGTTGATGTATTTCCTCAGCGACCAGCACGGATCAGCTCCAGGCATGACGAAGCGATATCGTCCTTTCTTTGCGTTAACATTTGGGCGGCGTTATGCAAATCTTCCCATATCCTGACGTAGATATGTGGAGGCGTGTTAGAACGAGCCGTTTTATAGGTAGGCATGGCTGACTCTGAACTTTTATAAAGAATATCTCTTTGGATTTGAGACTTTAGTCTTTGCAACTTTACAGATCTTCTTTATGCACCAAGAGCTTGTAACACTCCAAAGAGAAAGGAAAAATTGAAATCGCATCATATGACCCCTTTAATGGGCTTTAAAAAAAACACTGGGTGGATTTTATCATTATAGGGTGGATGTGTACACACACTTCCAACACACATTTATGTTCAAACATGAATACAAAACGTAAAGTGAATTTTGCATCCGATGACCCCTTTAAGAAACGTGAGACTATAGCTGTGTTCCAATTCAAAGACCGCATCCTTCGAAGGATGCTCCGAGTCTAGCCTTCGCAGGATTTCCTAATTGTGCCAGCAGGTGTTCCCGATTAATGCTCCTGTCGCGTGGCAACGGTGCGAGAAGAGAGCTGCCATCCTGAGATTTGTTAATGAAACTGAAAATAACTATGGAGCCTGAATTGTTAGTTTTTGACTGTATTTATTATACCTTATACTGGAGGAAATGTTGGTGATGGTTCACCCCCGGCAAATAAGTGCAGTAAGAACTCGAAGTGAGGAGATGGAGCAGTGGAGGGATGCTGATAAATATAGAGGTAAGTCAGCTGTATGTACCTATTGGTGTTGGTTAACTTGAGTACGCTGCACTTATGTTAATTAGGCTAAGTATCTGAAGCGCTCCTCCCGAACTTTAATAAAACATAATTTTGTGATACAGACAGATGATTTTTCCATGAAATTAGCTGCCCCTTAAAATAGATAAATTTAGAATTCAGAGTAAAAAGTCACAATTGTGAGATATAAACTGCAAAACAAGATATTGCAATTGTGTTTAAAAATGTTGCAATTATGTTAAAGTAAAAAACAAAAAAGCCTGGCTCATTCTGATTTAATTTGTCCTGTGTGAACAGCCCCTGAAAATGCTCTTTGTACAGATAATACCTCTTTTACCTTCCCAACAAGTCCTGTAAAATGATAATGTAACAGGCTCATTATAACAAATATCATTTTTTCTCACGGGCATTAAATGAATTCAAGGGCCAAATTGAGTCCCTATTAATAGGAGAGCTAATGGCAGATCATGGTGAGGAAAACTTGTTTTTGGCCAGCTTCGTGCTGAATTCAAGAAGTGGAATCATCATCTTAACAGTACAAAGACATCCTGTGAGTACATTTTCAAATTTAAGAAGCCCAATAAGTTTGAATTCACTCTCCTTTTATCAGAGTTTTAATGAAAAATTTTAATAAGAAATCCATCTTGTTCCCAAACAAGTTTACAATGCAAAAGAGTTGACCCAGAAAAAACAGAGGGAGGGAACCACCCGGCTTCAGCAACTACAGATTGTTTGAGATGATTCTACAGGACCATGTGGCCAAACTTAAAGATCCAGCCATTGATTTACTCAGTGCCATAAAAGGTACCATCACACATATTTGTGTTTAAAGACATTGTGTTTCTGGTCATTGTGGAGTGCTTCCATTATCAAACCAAAAGATTAGATCACCAACTGAACAAATAATAGGCTAGTTTTAGCACATCTGAATCTTGTGACATGTGGCTATTTGTCTTTTTGATGTGTGTATTTTTTCTCTAGACATCATCATTAAGCGGTGAATAAGTGTTTCCAGAACCATGTCCTTCAAAACATCACTAAGGTAAATAATGCCCCTCAATTGCTCCTCAAATTTAAAATGGAAAGCATGATCTACATTCAAGATCCCATCTTCATAAAGAGTTTAAATGAGATTACCAAGGAGTCTTTTTCAGAAAACGAGTTACCTGTCTTTGACAAACAATGCAAGTATACAGTCATATGCTGGAGGTGTATTATTAGGTAGATCATTTTAGTTTTCAATAACAAATTGCACTGTGCTTGTGGTGTGAGAAAGTAACTAATCTAATCGTTTACTTTTCAGATTGTGGTGCAGAGAATGGCTGACCAACTGCCCATGATGATCTTGTTTTACATGCTGCAAGAGACTACTCAGCTCCTGTCTACTGACATAATGAAATTACTGGAAAAGCCAGATGTGCGTGAACTCCTGTCTGAGGACTCTGATGTCAGCAGAAGGCGCAAAGACCTAAAAGCTTGACTTACTCGTTTGACTGCTGCTGCAGAAGCAATTAGCAATTTTTTGAATGACTAGACCATTGTTTAGGAAATAAAGAGCAGATCGTTTCGATACCAAGAAAGAAACAGCTAAAAGATATTAAAGCAGAGATAGATTCATACACTTGGATATAAGCATTTAGAGTTTAACTAATACAAATACAGAGTTGTAACTAGGCTAATATAATAGAGGAGCATACATACAACACATGCATGTACCATATTGAGTTTATAACAGCTTAATTATGGCCTAAATAAAGAGAATGTCTTTATTTTTGTGTGTTATGTGTATTGTAAGTGTGGGCATAGTTCATTGGGCACTCGGGCATTTAATGAGTGTTGTCTGAGTGTGATCGTCTTCTCGTTGGAATGTGTTTGAAGTCAGATGGGGAGACCAGAGTACTGTACTGTTTAGCATCTTCTGAATGGTGGTGGGAGACTCTTGGAGATTTAGCACCCATATAAATGTAGACTGTGGAGCCAGGTCTGTATAATTTATATGCTAATGTCAAAAGGCTAAAAGGATCTCTGAGACATGAAGCCCAAACAATCATCAGTGATCCTATGCAGACGTTACACTACTGATAGCTTGGAAACGCAGCACATGTTTTACACACACATAATCCAAATGTCGGGTCTTGTAGTTGATTTCAAACTCTTCCGATTATTGAACATAATGAAAATGACTTATTTACATACTTTTAGTGGTAATGATGCTTTGAGAGTGTGTGTGTTAAAAACACATACATCTCTCAACCAAGCCTGCCCCCTCTTCGTGAATGAAACACCTGTGTAAAAACCCTTTGTGCACATACTCTCAACTAGTGACAGCCCAAAATACATTTTCATTAACAAAATGGCTCCTACAATTATTTTAAACAGGATTTTTTTTTGGATTAGAAAACAGTCAAAAATGGGGGGAAAAGGTCAAAAGTGGAAAAAAAAAAATCTTCCTCTGCCATCTTCTTGAAGTCATTTTAAATGCCTGAAATAAGTTCTGTGATTACACAAGATCATGATATTTTCACTTTTTATTCTATGGTAGTAGAATACTACTGGTAGAATTAATACTAATTAAATACAGCAGTAATGCCCCATATTTTACATGTCATAAAACTAACAAGTGGCTTAAAGGGATAGTTCACCCAAAACTGAAAATTACCCTATGATTTACTCACCCTCAAGCCATCCTAGGTGTATATGACTTTCTTCTTTCAGACGAATCCAATCTGAGTTACATTAAAAAATGTCCTGGTTCTTCCAAGTTTTATAATGGCAGTGAGTAGGTTTTTTTTTTCCAATAGTCCAAAAGAAGTCCATAAAAGTGCATCCATCCATCATAAAAAGTGTCCCACACAGCTCAGGAGGGTGAATCAGCATGGGATTTGACAGCAAAACACACGTCCTTGATGTGTGAATTGCTATTAAAAACACGCGTTCTTGATGCGCACTTTGGAGTCACCGAAAATGCGCGTTTTTGACATGCGTTTATCATAACAAAAATGGGCGTTGAATATGTGAGTTTTGAGTCGGCTGAAACCATGGTTAATTTTCATAAGAGATGCTGTAATAACAAGATGTTTTGTCATTAAATCGTCATAATTATCTTGTTAAAACGACATTTTCTCGTAATAATTATTATGAGAAAATATGCTGTTTTAACAAGATAATTATGATTATTATATTATGGCAGCGTGTCACTCCCGGATAATCGAAAATGGGCAAAGAAGCGGGACCTGGTTGCTGAAACCACGCCCACCTAGCTTGATGGTGGTGACAGCAGCGGCAATCCACCTGTCACTCAATTATCACTCACGCGCCCTTAATTATGCAGAACTTTAAGGCTTAATATAATTTAAACGGATGAGTTATAAAAAAGTTCACCCCTCTCACAGTTGTCATGAAGGGCAAAATTAGCTATATAGACCAAAATCATTTTTTGAACCAGGCTGTAAACATGTTTTTTCTGCTGTAAAGTTGGGCATTTTAACATGGGGAGTCTATGGGATTGACTCCCTTTTGCAGCCAGCCTCTAGCAGCCAGTTGACAAATTACAGTTTAAGTAACTTCCTTGTTGGCTTCACGAGAGAGAGCGGGAGGTTGCCGCTTGGTCTGACCACCTTTTTTTATTAAAGAAATGGAAGATGGCGGCTGCATGTTCTTTACAAATCAGAGATTATTTTATTCAAATAAAATGGCCTTTGGCTTTTATGATCTAAAACAACATGTAGGAAAATATGAAAATATTTTAATCTCAAAAGGCCTATTTAAGAAAAACCTTAGATGCAAAATGTTTTCACTGGCGATTACAAGCAAGGGCAAAATTTGTTTTTAGATAATAAGGAACTACACAATCCTGTACTTGAGTACAAGTACAGAATCTGACAGTGAACTAAATTCTTCAGATTTGAATTCTAATTTAACTTAATTTAATCTAATCTAATCTAATTTAACTGATTCTAATTCTGATTCTAATTTTTAAATGGCAAACCACACGTCGAGGGAGCGCATTTTGATCCAAAAAATGCATGTTTTCGATGCGCGTTTTCATTACCCCAAAGCACACGTCAAATCACAAGTCATTGTCAAGGACGCGCGTTTTACTGTCAAATCGCACACTTTTGACAGGTCAGTGTGTGCAATCAGACGCCCAATCAGGCATTTATGAATACTTTGGCTTGCCATAAAGCTCAAGCTTGCGGTGTGAAACAGACGTAAGGTGTGTTTGTTTTTCTACGTGACATATATAAACGCAAATTCATATACCCAGAGTCTTCAACACAATAGCGATTAATTCACAATGTGAGTGTAACCGGACTTTCATTTTGTTGCGTGCAATGGTGAATCGCAGTGTGCATTTGTGGGAAGTGTTGATTCTTTTAACTCAACGGGAGCATATGAAACTTTCTGAATCCGAACATGTTACTGTGTTGTTTGTCTCCACTCTTCTCTCTCTACAGCACCACGCCTGCTTTTGTAATTTTTTTACGACATTTATGAGGATTATGAAATAGAGGGTTTCCTGATCCTTTAATGTACTTTCATTTTGAGCCTTATCTGGGTTAGCTATCATACACTAAGTCCAGTCTGACACGCAGGATATCAAACCCTTTTGATTTCTCAGAAACACTAAATTTAGATGAAACCCATAATCTATTCTTTGAACTTTGCTTTCATTTTCACTTTTTGTTTTCCCAGAAACTGTTGAGTTCAAGGCAAGGCTTGCTGTTATAATAGAGTGCTGCAGAGATCATTTACTTATTAAGTAGGCCTACACCATGATCGTGCAAAAAAACAATTTTTCACTTTCGACTGTTTTCTAATCCAAGCTGTTTAAAATAATCTGTTTTTTTTATGTTGTTAGATTAAGAACAGGTTCACAGGTGTGGTGACAAATTAGGAATGCATTATTAAAACATTGACTCTCTTAATCAAACAAGTCAATATAATATTTTTAAATTAAATAACATGCTTAAACAATATTTATGTGTAGAGTATTGCCAAATAGGTCAAGTCACCTTCATTTATATAGCGCTTTATATAATACAGGACGCGTCCTGGGAAAATGGCACGTATGGTCACCCTACTTTAAGGACCTGTGAAATAACTGAAATCACTGATCAGGCTTTTATATGTAGTTTGAGGTAACAATGGGTTTTATAGGTTTGACTGAAATAATGCAATAACTGACAAAACAATTGAACAAAAACAGATAAAGACAAAAAGTAGCCACTGATAATATCTAAACATGTATCCAAATCCAAATGGAATTAAATTAATTTATGTGTGATGACAACTTAAAAACTAGGGATTGTTACATAGGCATCCAGTGGCTATAATGGTATTACAGATAGGCCTAATAAATTGTGCAAAATGTTTTTCCTAACAGTCAATTTGCAAATAATGCGTTCAGATTTGTGTAAATCACACCAAGGTTGTTATTTAAGATTTAAGAGTTATTTACATAATCAGTTTTATGTTATTTTGTATGTAATCTTATATTTTCTTGTTTGGGAGTGGGAGTGGGATGGAGGGGGGCGCTAATAGGGATTTCGCCTAGGGCATCAAAATGGCTAGAAACGGCCCTGATGGTATGGTATTACAGCTGTGAAATTACAAACAAAAAATACACATTCTGAGACATAAACTGAAATGAATTGTGAATTTTATTAACATTAAATCGTCCTCCTCCTTTTTTCTTTCAGACGAATCCAATCTGAGTTATATTAAAAAATGTCCTGGTTCTTCCAAGTTTTATAATGGCAGTGAGTGAGTGGTTTTTTTTTTCAATAGTCCAAAAGAAGTCCAATAAAGCGCATCCATCCATCATAAAACGTGTCCCACACAGCTCAGGAGGGTGAATCAGCATGCGATTTGACAGCAAAACACACGTCCTTGACGTGTGAATTTCTATTAAAACACGCGTTCTTGACGCACACTTTGGAGTCACCGAAAATGCGCATTTTTGATGTGCGTTTATCATAACAAAAATGGGCATTGAATATGCGAGTTTTGAGTCGGCCGAAACCATGGTTAATTTTAGTAAGAGATGCTGTAATAACGAGATGTTTTGTAATTAAAACGTCATAATTATCTTGTTAAAACGACATATTTTCTCGTAATAATTATTACAAGAAAATATGCTGTTTTAACAAGATAATTATGATTATTATGATGATAAGTATAATTATTACTAATAATATTTTTCCTTTATAAGAGGTATTATAATCAAGACATATCAAACACAGTTTACAAACATTGTGTATGAAACAATACTGTATTCCGACTAGTATTTCATTATTTAAAGGGGTGCACACAAGTCTACTGTACACTCTTAAAAATAAAGGTGCTTCACGATGCCATAGAAGAACCTTTTTGCCCAAATGGTTCCATAAAGAACCTTTAACATCTGAAGAACCTTTCTGTTTCACAAAAGGTTCTTTGTGGTGAAAGAAGGTTCTTCAGATTATAAAAAGGTAAGAAAGAGATGGTTCTTTAAAGAACCATCTCTTTCTTACCTTTTTATAATCTGAAGAACCTTCTTTCACCACAAAGAACCTTTTGTGAAACAGAAAGGTTCTTCAGATGTTAAAGGTTCTTTATGGAACCATTTGGGCAAAAAGGTTCTTCTATGGCATCGTGAAGCACCTTTATTTTTAAGAGTGTATGCTAAAGTCTGACCACTTTTTTTATTAAAGAAATGGAAGATGGCTGCTGCATGTTCTTCACAAATCAGAGATGATTTTATTCAAATAAAATGGCCTTAGGCTTTTATGATCTAAAACAACATGTAGGAAAATATGAAAATATTTTAATCTCAAAAGCCCTATTTAAGAAAAACCTTAGATGCAACATGTTTTCACTGGCAATTACAAATAAGGGCAAAATTTGTTTTTAGATAATAAGGAAGTGCACAATCCTGTACTTGAGTACAAGTATAGAATCTGACAGTGAACTAAATTCTTCAGATTTGAATTCTAATTTAACTTAATTTAATCTAATCTAATCTAATTTAACTGATTCTAATTCTGATTCTAATTTTTAATGGCAAACCACACGTCGAGAGAGCGCATTTTGATCCAAAAAATGCATGTTTTCGATACGCGTTTTCATTACCCCAAAGCACACGTCAAATCACAAGTCATTGTCAAGGACGTGCATTTCGCTGTCAAATCGCACGCTTTTGACAGATCAGTATGTGCAATCAGACGCCCAACCAGGCATTTATGAATACTTTGGCTTGCCATAAAGCTCAAGCTTGCGGTGTGAAACAGACGTAAGGTGTGTTTGTTTTTCTACGTGACATATATACAGGTGCATCTCAATAAATTAGAATGTCGTGGAAAAGTTCATTTATTTCAGTAATTCAACTCAAATTGTGAAACTCGTGTATTAAATAAATTCAATGCACACAGACTGAAGTAGTTTAAGTCTTTGGTTCTTTGGTTTCCAAATGAAATACAAAACTTGCTCTCATCTGAAAAGAGGACTTCGGACCACTGGGCAACAGTCCAGTTCTTCTTCTCCTTAGTAAGACACCTCTGACGTTGTCTGTGGTTCAGGAGTGGCTTAACAAGAGGAATATGACAACTGTAGCCAAATT